AAATGAGAATGGAGAACAGGTGTAGAAGCCAGGCTGGGCAGGACTTTAAGAAGCCATGCTAGGATGAGAAGCTTACCTAGAAGACAGGAAACAAGTAGGGAGTTATTAACAGGGTCTGAAAGTGGATTCAGGCTTATTTTACAGGCCTGCTACTTTACATGAGTGGAAGATGAAGTAGAAGAGGTCAAGGTCGACTCCATCCTAGAAAACTTACAGCGCATTCAGCAAAGACAACTCACATCCTGAGCACTCACTTGGGTGCAGGAAACGCCAGCAAGGCTTGCTCAGTTGGCTTCACTAGGATGGTCCAGATACAAGGAAAGTTGTTCCAGAGGGAGTTGACGAACCAGCCCTGAAGCTTGCGTGAAGAGGCCCTCACATTCCCCAGGCTCTAAAACCAGAAGGGAAGGACGTCAGGGCACCTCAAGGCTGCTCCAGGACATGAGGGGCTATGCCATTCCTGGGGTCCATATCCTTGTTCATCCTCCCGACTTCCCAGCCCTCGGGAACAGCACACAGCAAAGATGCCCAGAGTGTGAGGCTCCCACCAACAGCGTGGGCTTTTCTGTTTTACTCAGAGTTGTTAAAGGGACCCATACCCAGATTCGAAGGGCTTTTTCTTCTCAGTCAGTAGGAAACCGAAGAAATGTAACATGAATCCCTAAAACATGCTTTATTTTCACCACATGTGGCAGATTTTTGACCAGAAAACCAAGGCCAACACCTCGTTTGTGTTCCCTGGAGTTCTTTTACTACTGCAGGCCAAAGAGACAGCAAATCATCAGTTCTGCTTCAAGACAGACGGCATTAGTCAGAGTTCTCCAGAGAAAGAGAGAACCAATGTGATAGACGATTGATAAAGAGAGATGATAGGTAGATAGATGATAGATAGATAGATAGATAGATAGATAGATAGATAGATAGATAGATAATAGGTAGATAGATGATAGATATATATAGACAGATAGATAGATTCGATGGGTATATAGATAGATAGGTAGATAGATAGATAATAGGTAGATAGATGACAGATAGATAGATAATGGTAGAGAGATGATACATAGATATAAATAGATAGATAGATTATAGATAGATGATAGATAGATAGATAGATAGATAGATAGATAGATAGATAGATAGATAGATATATAGATAGATAATAGATAGGAGGCAATTTATTTATTGGGGGGAATTGGCTCATGCTATTATGGAGGCAGGGAAGTCTCATGAGAGTCCATCTGCAAGCTGGAGCCCCAGGGATGCCAGTTGTGTGGTGCAGTAAAGTCTGAAGGCCTCACCATGGGAGATGATGATGGTGTCACTCTCAATCTGAAGATGAAGCCTGAGAACCTATTAGTGCACTGCTGCAAGTCCTAAAGTGCAAAGACCAGAGAACCAGTAGTTCTGATGTCCAGGGCAGGAGACGAAGGATGTCCCAGCACCAGGAGACAGAGAGCATGACTGCATGGTTCCCCGGTGTGTTCGTTCTCTCTGGGCTCCAATGAATTGAATGATGACCACTCACAGCGATGGTGAATCTTTCAATTCAGTTCACTGATTCACACCCATCTCCTCCAGAAACACCCTCAGAGACACACCCAGAAATATTGCTTTCCCAGTTATCTGGATCCCTCTTAGTCCAGTCAAGTTGACACTTGTAATTAACCATCACAGAGGCTGAACCATTCAGAAAATGAGAATCCACCTGCTTTAAAAAGTGCATCTGAATGGGCTCCCACCACTCTCAGTAATGAGGATTCAGTTTCCACACTGTCTAACGAGGACAATTATAGCCATTTCCTCGAGGGCGTTCTAGGATCCAATATGTTCCTATTTTAAAAGGTTTGTTCAGTACCTGGCAAGTCCTCTGTACTTGATAAAAAATAAATTAATAAGCTGCCTGAATCACAGGGAAACTGCTCCCGCCTCCAACCCGCATCCTCCGTGCTGAGGTTCTTCCCTCTTCCTTCACAGCTCTCACTTTTGACTCTGAAGATGGAGCAGTCAGTCTGCTCTCCAGACTCTGGGCACTTAGAGGAGGCTCCTGTCCCCCTGAGACACAGGTTCTGTGGAGAGGCAGCTCCTTTCCCTGCCCAGTGAGGCTTCCCAGATGGGAAGGCAGGGGGCCCCTCATGCTGGAAAGGAGTTGACAGAGCTGGGGGAATGTTCCAGGAAGGAGACCCCTGAGAGGTCCAGTCTTATGTCTGAGCCTCTCAAATGCTCCACCCAGCTGTCCTGCCCCAACCCACCCCAGTGCACACATCTCTGGACCAGCAATGTCCACAGGGACCATGAGGAAGTGCCTCTCTCTCCCTGTCCTTCAGTTCACTCCACTCAGGTGACTCCACTCCTGGTCATGGCACCCGCCCAGCACGTCCTATTGCAGTCTTCCCAGTCCTCCCCATCCTGAAGGCCAGGCCTGAGCTCCACCTCACTGGGAAGCCTGGTGTGATCAGCACAGGTGGGGCCAACCTCAGACTTCACAGTGTCTGCAGCTTCCACCCATTGCCCGGTGGAGGTGTTGGGGGCCATTGCTTCTTGTGCTGCCACTTGACTCTGTGTGAGCTGGTTTCAGTCCTCAACTGTATACAAGCCTCTGGGGATACAGACTGGGCATTGGTCCACTCGTGTGTCAACATGAGTTGCTCCAGGTTATAATCGTATGTCTTGATGCATTTTTTGTACTACCTGTACTCAATACTGGGCCATGGAAGGTGGTCTCACCTTTTTTACTGGCAGTCACAGAAACATCTGTATATGCCATATGTCACTCTGCTGGCTTCCACAGAGAAGGGGAAAATCAGCACATTCCCCCCTTCCCCACCTACCTGCTGAGTCACTATGGTAATATGCATCAAAGAATGTGGATGGTTGGCTGAAAGTTCTGTTATATATGATGGTCATAATATTGGAAGAGGATTGGTAGGTCAGGGACACGTCTTTACACATTTTGCTCAGGGATCTGGACCGCAGAGATCGATCCAAGACTTCTACCTGTTCACTCCCACAGGTGAGGCTGTGGGGCAGAGAACTGACAGGTGTCAGCATTTGGAATCACCCTCCCTCCAGCAGGCAGCCTCCTCCCCAGCGACAGGCACCAGCTTTCATCAGCTCCGCTTCTCAGAAGTGCAAGGCCTAGGGCGAGCAAGGAATGGAAAGTCTAACAGTTCTTCTGTATGCAGATTAGTCTCTTTCCATAACCCCTGAATAAAATAAATGTTTTGTTCACCAGGGCTGCAGGCATCTTCCAAGTCCCCTTGGGAGCCCTGCCTGTGGATGGGAATACCACTCAGAAATTTTAATTCCAGGCACCAGCTGTGTTTCAGGCCCCACAAGCTACAAAATCTGCATCTCAGGGACATGGGTTTTCAGTCACAGCCTCTGTGTCAGGATGAGATGCTCCAGACATGAGTGTGTGGATGCCACTCCGTGATTCCTGTTTCTCCTTCCCTTGGCAAATAGAGGGGCAACGAGGGTCCCCAGCCCAAGCTTGGCTTCCTTGACTCAAGGCAGGGAGGGGCCTCCATTTCTTATCTACAGTGAGATATTGTGGACATGGATTGTTACTCTCCTGAGAGGTCTCCCCACTCCTCTCACCCCCTTCACTCTTCAAACCTGACCTCTCATCCTCAATTAGCCCCCAGCAAGCTTTATGTGCATGGGAGAGTGTTTACAGCTTATCTGAAGTATGAGAAGACCATTAAGAGATATCCCATTAGGAAACACACAGGGTTGACTTTATACTAGTTTTGTTCTTGGCCCAGCCTGAGTTCTTCCTTGATGCCAAGGACAGTGAGATCTAAAACCAATCTTTGAAAAGGGCAAAGGAACAATACAGGAAAATGTTCAGAGCTGCCAATCCTTCTGAGCCCGGAAAAATGGTGGCACAGGGAATTCCCAACTCCTTTATCCCAGGTCCCTCTCCAACCTCCTTCTCTCCTTGTTTCCCTATCTAGGTCTCCTGGGCTGCACATCCTTTTTCAGAATCACTGGAGCCTGTGTTGGGCAAATGGTCTAAGTTCTATATCTGAGGCAGCCATCTGAAAGATGTCCTTCATCACACAGAGCGTCTGCATAACCTGGAGGTCCCAGCCCAAAAGCCAGTATGGAGGGGAAGGGGGACCTTAGTCACACAGATTCCATCATCTTTCTCATCCGCATCCTGGGTTGTGTTTGGCTTGGTCTGGAATTGATGGAAATGTGGCTGCCATGCTCAATCAGAACAGACTGTCTTGGGTATAAATGCTACAGGGTTTTCTGCCTTCTGGGATCTTATCACTGCTTTCGTTCATTCAATCATTCATTCATGTATTCATTCATTATCAATTTTGCCTTGAACCCCAAAAGAGAGCTTCTATTGCAGTGGCGTCAAAGAATGAAACAAGTGTCAGTGTCCATTGAAAAGACACCTCGGCCTTTTCTGAAGGTATCTAGTAGGGTGCAAAAGAGAGCTCTGCCCATCTGGGAAGGAGTCATGCAGACACTATGGAAGAGCTGGGCCTCCAGCTGAATCATGAAATCCTCGTGGAGAACCCTAAGGAGAGGGCAGATGAGTCTGACAGAGGTAGAAGGAGGCATTCTCATCAGAGCCCAGTGTGAGCAACGGCAAGGAGCTGCTTCACAGACGGTGCCAGGAACCCCAGTGTGGAGGGGGCGGAAGGCAGGAGTGGGTGGAGATGAGGAGAGGTCCAGGAGCCATAATGGGAAGTATTTTGCATGCAGGCTAAGGAGAGAGAACCTGACCTGGAAGACAGGGAGGCACTAAATGCATTTGCAGTGGGAAAGGAAGGCTCCAATTCTATTTAGAGACCTCTGGGTTGGGTAGGGGTAAACTGGCAAGATGACAGGTGGATTTCATCCCAGAAAACTGTGCCACGAACAAAGAAAATCGCATCCTGAACACTCACTTGAGGAGAGGAAATCACAGATGGATTTTCTTTTGGTTTCACCCAGATGACCCAGACACATTCTGTTTTGTTCCTGACTGAGCTGAAAACCTTCCCAGAGAATGTGTCAGGACACTCCCCACACCGAGGACACCCCCACACTGAGGACACCCCCACCCTGAGGACACCTCCACATTGAGGACACCCCCACACTGAGGAAACCCCCAGACTGAGGACACCCCCACACCATAGACATCCCCAACACCAAGGATGCCCCCATACCGAGGATACACCCACACTGAGGATGCCCACACACTGAGGACACCCCCACACTGAGGACACCCCCACACTGAGGATGCCCCCACACTGAGGACACACCCACACTAAGGATGCCCCCACACTGAGGACACCCCCACACTGAGGACATCCCCACACTGAGGATGCCCCTACACCGAGGACACCCCCACACTAAGAATGCCCCCACACTGAGGACACCCCCACACTGAGCGGGTCCTACAACCAGAGAATCAGCAACCAGCATGACTCCAGGGCATCTCCTGAGCTGAGGGACTTTGCTATTTCTGGGGCAGAATGGTTGTTGATACTCACCACTTTCAGGAGTTCTCAGAAAAATTGGTGATCAGGCCAGGTGCGGTGGCTCACGCATGTAATCCCAGAAATTTGGGAGGCCGAGGCGGGGAGATCACTTGAGATCAGAAGTTTGAGACCAGCCTAGCCAACAGGGTGAAATGCCGTCTGTACTAAAAAGTACAAAAATTAGCTGGGTATGGTTGTGCACGCCTGTAATCCCATCTACTCAAGAGGCTGAGGCACAAGAATCACTTGAACCCAGGAGGTGGAGGTTGTAGTGAGCCAAGATAGCGCCACTGCCCTCCAGCCTGGGTGACAGAGCCAGACTCAGTCTCAAAAAAAACAAAAACAAAAACAAAACAAAACAAAACAACAAAAAAAGAAAGTTGGTGACCAGATAGCCATTCCCCCAAAACTAATGTGGTTTCTGTTTCATACACTCAGAGATTTTGAGTTCTGACACCCATTTGTAGTATAATTTCTTTTAGATCACTGGGAAATAGAGGAAATTTAGCACCCCTCACCAAATATTCCTTATCCTCTACCCCACTGCCACAATGGAAAACAGAAAGTCAGCACGAATACCTCCTTTCTACCTCTCCGACTGTCCTTTCCTAAGGAGGCCAGAAAAAATAGCAAATAGGCAGTGTTCCTGCCCCCAGAGAGGCCTAACCCCTCATATATGAGAATCCGTGTCACTGTAAGACCCGAGGGTGCGGTTCCAGAACGCTGTTCAGTGAGATGAAAGTAGCACCTAGCGTAAGGGGGCAAACGTGTTTGGATGTGTAAAGTGCCCAGCAGGTACCCAGCAACCGGCTAAGCACTAAGTAAATAAATCCATCCATCAACAAGCTGCCTGCAGCAGGAGGAAACCTCTCCTCTCTTCCCTCTGACCCACACTCTCCACACTGCAGTTCTTCCGTCTTCCTTCAAGGCTCTCATCTCTGACTCCGAGGGTACAGCAGCCCCTCAGCTCTCCGGAACTCCAGGGGTTTAGAAGAGGCTCCATTCTCCTGGGACACAGCTGGGTGGAGAGGCGGCTCCTTTCTCTGCACAGTGAGGCTGCAGAGAAGGCAGGAGAAGAGAGGGGGCTCCATGGGCTTGAAGGAGTTGGGGGGCACACAAAGGAAGACCATATGTGGAGAGAGAAGTTTCAGGATTGAGCTGAAGTTGTATCAGTGCTAAAGCTGATATTCAGATATATGTACCACATTCTTTTGGCCAAGAAAAAGGCTCAGGTCCCACACTTCCTGTTGAGACATATGGTGTCCAACTCAGAAATATATAGTCCCTGTGT